TTCTCTTCTTCGCGAACGCGACCCTCATGTCGCGAACGCATAGGGCAATTTTGCCCAGTGATTTTTAAGTTTTAAATCAGAACAGTGACGGGATTTTTCACCCAAAAGCACACGAACTCTTCTTCTCCACAGCCCCTACGCGATTTTTAGAGCACTTCTTCACCAAAGCTTCTTGGGTAAGTATTGTTTAACTTGTTTTCTTCATTTTCCTTCATCATTTATCAAATTCCTAGGCTTAAATCATGTAATCTAGGATTGGAATTGGGGGAATTGGGTAGAATTAGGGCTTTTCAATTTTTCTTGATTTAGACCTCGTTTTGGGGTCGAATTTGAAAACAAATTGTATGTCCGGGCTCATGGGGGAATGGGTGATATGAATTTGGTTCGAACCTCATGTTTTGACCAAGCGGGCCCGGGGTCGATTTTTGAAATTTTTGGAAGAAAGGTTGGGAATCTATATTTAGGCATTGGGCTTGATTTGTTTAGCTATTATTGATATTATGAAGTCGTTATTTCATAGATTTGATTGAGTTGGAGCCGAATTCGAGAGGGAAAGCGGTCATTGTGGATTGATTTAGCCGTGGAAGTTGAGGTAATTGTTTGGTCTAACCTTAGCTTGAGGGAATATGAGTTGAGTCTTGTTTGCTACTTGCTAATTGTCGAGTACGGTGTATAGGCATGGTGACGAGTATCTATACAAATGTGTCTAGCATGACCGCGAGTCTTTAAAATGTGATTATCATGATTTTGTTGTGAATTCCATGTTTAATTGAGGATTTCTATATATTGTAAAGAACATGTGAAAGACATTATGAGCATTGGATTTTCGTGGAGCATTAGCTCGGTTGTGATACGAATTGAAAAGGTATATGAGGTTATGAATTCTTTGGAGCATTGGCTCAAGTATTAAAGTGAGATATGAAGTAAGAAATGAAAGAGAGCTAATGAGTTATTGGTTATTCCCTTGCCGGGAGGTTTTGCTGTTTGGATGACTTTTCTCCCTTGCTGGGATATTGAAATTGTTGTTACTGTTCCCTTGCCGGGATTCCTATTTTTGTTGTCTATTCCTTCGCTCCATTGTTTGTGATTGTTGTTTGGGTTAGGAAGAGTGATAAAGCACGAAGGGTAATGCCGTGCACGATTGTGATATGAATACTAATGCACGAAGGAACATTCCGTGCCATGATATGATTACTAATGCACGAAGGATCATTCCCTGCCATGATATGAGTGTTTATGCACGAAGGATCATTCCGTGCCATCATTTTGTGAGGTAAAGCACGAAGGGTGATGTCGTGCACTTTATATGATTGATTTGGTAAGAACGAGAGTAAAAGCACGAAGGGTGGTGCCGTGCATCTGTCGATTTCTTATTCTCGTTGATATTGTAGTTGTACAGTTTCATTCCTTATTTATTTGATTCTATGTCTGAACTGTTATAGCCCTACAACATGCTCCCCCCCTCTTTGACTGGTTAAATTCAGTGTTTCTACTCTATTGCACATTTATATAGAACTGCACAGGTTTGATTGGTAGTCCGGTCCTAGCCTCGTCACTACTTCGCCGGGGTTAGGCCAGGCACTTACCAGCACATGGGGTTGGTTGTGCTGATGCTACACTTCTGTGCTCTTTTGCACAGATCACGGTGTTGGAGCAGCTTTTGGACAGTAGCAGTAGATCGGGAGTATCCTTCAATCCAGAGACATCGAGGTAGCCTTGCTGACGTCCACAGGCCCGGAGTCTCCTCTATCTTTATTTCAGTTTGTTATCCTTGTACCGAAACAAACAGATTATGACTTCTTTCAGTCTAGTGTATTTAGTAATCTTAGAAGTTCGTGAGTATTGTGACACCAATCTTGGGTAGAGTCTTGTATTGGAATTTCCGCATCTCTTTCAGTTACTTACATTTGAGACTTCCGCTTATATCATTAAATACTTCTTTTTTTTTTTATAAAATTGTTGATATTTGCTAAAAGAGGTAATTAATAATTGGCTTGCCTAGCTCCTAATAGTAGGCGCCATCACGACTCCTGAGGGTGGGAAATCCGGGTCGTGACAAAATGACTTAGACTCGCGGAGGAAATGCTTTTAAACATTCTGCCCAGATTCTGGAACTCCTTCTTCACGAACGCGGTCAAACCCACGTGTTCGCGATGCACAAATTCTCTTTGACAAAAATTAACCCTTCACGAACGCAGCACCAGCCCCGCGAACGCGATGCTCTGGACCTTTAACCCTACGCGAACGCGGCTCCACATCCGCGAACGCGAAGAGCAATAGCTCTGGGAACTTCAGCTCTAAACTTCTACTACGCAAACGCGACACCCGTCACACGAACGCGATGCACACTCCAAATACCCTCCCCGAACGCGATGCACTAGACACGAACGCGAAGCACAAAAACTCAGGGACCCCAACTTCCTTCTACGCGGATGCGAGCTCCTCACCGCGAACACGAAGTACCAGAAACTTACCTTCCGCGAACGCGGACCCACTTTCGCGAACGCGAAGGCCAAATTAGGCCTGCACCTGCTGCTGCATTTTCTGCAATATTTTCCAAGTTTAAAACCTCCCGTTAGCCATCCGAAATCACCCCGAGGCCCCCGGGACCTCAACCAAAAGCACCAACACATCCTAAACATCATCCAAACTTGTTCCAATCATCAAAAACGCCTCAAACAACACCAAAACCATCAAATTACATCAAATTCAAGCCTAAGTTCTTCAAAAACTTCCGAAACACGCATTCGATCAAAAACCTAACCAAATCACCTCCGAATGACCTGAAATTTTACAAACACATCCCAAATCACCTAATGAAGCTACTGCAACTCTCAGAATCCCATTCCGACCCTCGGATCAAAATCTCACCTATCAACCGGAAATCGCCAAAATACTAACTTCGCCAAAACAAGCTAATTTCTTCACCGGACTTCCAAAACCACTTCCGATCACACTCCTAAGTCACAAATCATCCCCCGAAGCTAATCGAACCACCGAAAATCACATCCGAGCCCTCTAACACATAAGTCAACATTCGGTTGACTTTTCCAAACTAAGCTTTCCTTAAAGAGACTAAGTGTCGCATTTCCTACCAAAACCACTCCAAAGCACTTCGAACACACATGACACGGATAATGAAGCATAAAGAAGCTTAAAATGGGGGAAACAGGGCGGTAACTCATAAGACGACTGGCCGGGTCGTCACAGATCTACCAGTCATGGCACCTTTGTCTAGTTTACGGCTGCGGGTGGCAGGATTAGATATTTAACCTAGTTTAAGAAAATTTATACATAGATATATAAATTTTTTATCATTTTAGCGGGTGCCATGCCACCCCTTCTTAAAGGGGTGGATCCGCCACTGTATATAGGTCGTTTTTATTAGTATATTCCAATTTTGACTATAATTTGGAATACTTTAAAAGAATTTGGAATACCAAGTTGGGACAAGTTTTTTCTATCAACTTTTACGAAACTAGTTTGATTTAGGTTTTATTTCCGCGTAATCCGAAATATTTTTTATTTAAATAAATTTCTTTGAAAGCATAAGGGATAATATCCAGAGACTTCCTCTAGGGTTTTGGCTTGTAACACATATATACCCTTAGGTTGTACAAAGCGAACCGGAAAAACCGCACAAAACTGAAAAGTCAAACCAAACCAATTAAAAAATCCGATTAGATTTGGTTTGATTTGATTTGGTATTGAGGTAAAAAAAATCCGAATCAAACCTACATATAAATATGTAATTTATATATATATATATTTGTAAGACTTTTATAGAATTTTCGTTAAAAAATGTCTAGAAATATTTGCGATTCTCTTATGGGATATAATATTTAGTTAAATGTGAAGTGCTCCATATGTATTAACTTAAATAATGGGTTGTATGACCATTTTAGTATTAAGTGTTAGTGAAATGTGTCAATCTTTTTGTTCTTTCAATTCATATGTCAAGATCTATTAGATTCTTATATCTTTTTTGAATTTGAAAAAGTATTTCAATAATTTAATATTAAATAGAACATATCATTATATAGGTTCATATTTATTTTTATGTTAAATTATTAAATTCGGTTAACCTAAGTGTACATCAACGTAAAATTATTGTCAGTCGACAAAAAAATACCTATCATGTGCGTTACTAAGAAAATTCTTCCATAAAAATATTTTAATAGCTCATATATTTGTCAATTTTTTAATTTTTTTACTAAACATATATTTACTTATAAAAAATTTAACAAAGTAAGATTGAAATAATATTCACATAACAAAAAAATCAAAATACCCGATAAACCCGAACCAATCCAAACCCGTATAAAACTGAACCAACCCGGTTCATGTACACCCCTACATGATACCCTTGATCAAACTACATGATATATATGTCAATTTTATGATTTACTTTGTATAACAGAAGTAACACATTTTATTTTATTAATTCAAATCATTAATCTGATTGATATATTTAATTCAAGTATGTCACTGTACTTCTTTATATTATGGCAAATCATCTATGTAGTTATTTCATAACTCGATGAACATATGTTTTCCAATAAAAATTATATTTCTTGATGAAGTCGCTTGTGAACTTCAAGAAAAACAAATACCAATCCTAATGCAACAAAACCAGAAAAGGAGAAAATAGTATTAAAGTATTTGGACGAGCTTAAACTCTAATCAACAGAGGTAACAGCTAGTTCGATTTTTCAAATCAAATTTCTTGTGATTTCTTTTCATAGTGAAAATAGAACACTGAAATTAGAATGTAAGAGGGGAATCAAATTAAATGGTTTTTATTTGCAAATGTTATATTATTAGCCTCAAAATCATCTAAAAAGCATAATTATAATTGATTAAGTAAAATAACATTAATACATCTCCAAGATTACATTGAAGAAAAATAAATAGATCAACTTAGCTTCAAAATAATAAACTGGGAAATAAGAAAATAACCACATTGAAATGAAACAATAAAGAAAATATCAATCACATTACTAGAACGATGGTGCAACCCAAGTTGGCGGGCAAATAGGACTTAGTGACAATCCAGGATAAAAAGATTCAATTTTTTCACTTTCAAGATCGTAAGCCCCCATATCTCTTCCGCCCCCTCCTTCCAATATACTATAGATATAAGTCCAATCATCAATAGAACTTGCTCCATTACGGCCCACGAAAATTGATGATTCTCCCAACTTATTAATCTCCTTCAATTCACCTTCAATTACATCTAATTCAAATACTTTAAATTTAAAGGTCTCAGCACCACCATTTGGATCCTTTGAGGCACCTCGGCTAACCAATAATAGTACACCTGATACTTCTACTAGGTAGAACTGAACTAATAGCCATTTAAACATATCATCCTCAAGCTGAAAAAAATCATATGACTCTCCAATTGTTACATCATAAACCCAAACTTGACCAGAGTAATACACAACATAAAATTTACCCTTATAGTATTTGAGACTGGCAACTCCACCCATTACTATAGATCTGTCGATTATCATATTAGTCCAGTTAAGATCTCCAGGTCGCCAAAAAGCCAAACAATCTTTATATCCATAAAAAGAAACCATTAATACATAATCCGATGTAAGAGAAGGACTAGCAGATAACACAGCTTGGTCGATGCATGGATATCCATCATCTGTATTGTCGCAATCAAAAGCCAATAAGGCCTGTTGTGGAGGAAGTTGAATTAGGGTACGAGAAAAAGGATGCAACAAGTTTACCTCTCTAGTGTATGACGCGGTGCAGATCCATCCCTCTGATGGAAAACACTCTCGCCCTCTAGCTTCTGGGAGATATAATATACGTGAGACTTTCCCTTTGGAAAGAGAGTAAAATTCTCGATAATCGTCATCTTNTGCATATGCTTCACGTCAGTTGAAGGTTCATGAGAAGAATTACCCTGTGCACGATCTAGAGTTGGCAGCGATTGTCCATGCTCTCAAGATATGGAGGCATTATTTGTATGGTGTGTCATGTGAGGTTTACACCGACCATCGCAGCTTGCAGCATTTGTTCAAGCAGAGAGATCTTAATTTGAGACAGCGCAGGTGGCTTGAGTTACTAAAGGATTATGACATTACCATACTCTATCATCCAGGTAAGGCGAATGTGGTCGCGGATGCCTAGAGCAGAAAGGCGAAGAGTATGGGTAGCTTGGCGTTCATTCCTGCCGAGATGAGACCATTAGCTTTGGACATCCGGTCTTTAGCTAACAGACTTGTGAGGTTGGACATCTCGGAGCCCAGCCGAGTTGTAGCATGTGTGGTTGCTCAGTCTTCGTTATTGGGGCAGATTAAGGCCCGACAGTTCGATGATCCACATTTGGCGGTCCTCAGAGAGACGGTACTTCAGGGAGGTGCCAAGGAGATCTCTATTGGCGAGGATGGTGTGTTACGGCTACAGGGCCGTGTATGTGTTCCTAATGTTGATGGTTTGAGAGAGAGTATTCTAGAGGAGGCCCACAGTTCGAGGTATTCCATCCATCCGGGTGCCACGAAGATGTACCGTGACTTGAGACAGCACTACTGGTGGCGGAGGATGAAGAAGGACATAGTGGAGTATGTTGCTAGATGTTTGAATTTGCCAGCAGGTCAAATATGAGCACCAGAGGCCAGGTGGCCTACTTCAGTAGATGCCCATTCCGGAATGGAAGTGGGAGCGCATTACCATGGATTTCGTGGTTGGGTTGCCGCGGACTCAGCGGAAGGTTGATTCAGTGTGGGTTATTGTGGATAGGTTTATCAAGTCGGCCCACTTCATTCCGGTGGCGACTACCTATACGGCGGAGAGATATGCTCAGATTTACATTCGGGAGATAGTCAGGTTGCACGGTGTGCCGGTTTCCATCATATCGGACAGAGGGCCTCAGTTCACTTCCCATTTCTGGAGAGCTGTTCAGAGTGAGTTGGGGACTCGCGTAGAGCTCAGTACGGCATTCCATCCTCAGACTGACGGGCAGTCGGAGCGGACTGTTCAGATTTTAGAGGATATGCTTAGAGCATGTGTGATCGACTTTGGAGGGCAGTGGGATCAGTTCTTGCCCTTGGCAGAGTTTGCGTACAATAATAGCTATCAGTCCAGCATAGAGATGGCCCCGTATGAGGCATTGTATGGTCGGCGTTGTCGTTCTCCTATTGGGTGGTTTGAGCCCGGTGAGGCTAAGTTACTTGGCACAGATTTGGTACAGGATGCCTTGGATAAGGTAAAGTTGATTCAGGAGAGGCTCCGCACAGCTCAGTCCAGGCAGAAGAGTTACGCGGACCAAAAGGCACGTGATGTATCATTCACGATTGGCGAGAAGGTTCTCTTGAAAGTCTCGCCAATGAAGGGCATTATGAGGTTTGGGAAGAAGGGCAAGCTAAGCTAAAGGTTTATTGGCCCCTTTGAGGTGTTGAGGCGAGTTGGAGAGGTTGCCTATGAGCTTGCTTTACCTCCCAGTTTATCGGGAGTTCATCCAGTCTTCCATGTATCGATGCTTCGAAAGTATCATGCCGACCATTCTCACGTGTTGGATTTCAGTACCATTCAGTTAGATGAGAGCTTGGGCTACGAGGAGGAGCCAGTTGCCATTGTTGATAGACAGGATCGCCAGTTGAGGTCCAAGAGGATTTCTGCGGTAAGAGTCCAGTGGGGGGGCCAACCGGTCGAGGAAGCGACCTGGGAGTCCGAGGAGGACATGCGGAGCAGATATCCCCACTTATTCAGCAGTCCAGGTACTTTTCTATGTCCGTTCGAGGACGAACGTTTGTTTAAGAGGTGGAGAATGTAACGACCCGACCGGTCGTTTTGCATTTTTGAACCCCGTTCCCTTAAATAAGACTTCCCGCACTTGCTTATGCTAATTTATGACTTGCGGGGATGGGTGGTTCGGAAGTTAGAAGAGTTTTGAGCAAGAATAAGTCTAGTTGCTTCTTTAAGTTTCTTTAAAAAGGCCAAGTTTGACTTCGGTCAACATTTTGGGAAAACGGACCCAGAATCGTGATTTGACAATTTCTGAGGGTCCGTGGGAAAATATGGGACCTGGGCGTATGCCCAGAATCAAATTCCGAGGTCCCTAGCCCGAGTAATGAATTTTTATGTAAAATTGTTAAGTTTCAAAGGTTTAAATAAACTAAGAAATCATTGTTTTCCTAGGTATCGTGTTCGGATCTCGATTCCGAAACTTGGTAAAAGTTCGAAATATCAGTTAAGACTTACCCGTAAAATTTGGTGTCAATCCGAGTAGTTTAAGGGCGTTTTGACCCGTTGGAGGAGAATTAAGAACTTGAAGTTCAATGATTTGATTCATTTGGTTTTGGGGTTGATTTCCCGATTTAGCGTTGTTTTGAGTGTTTCGAGGGTTCGAGTAGGTCCGCCTCGTGATTTCAGACTTGTCGGTATGTTCGGGCGGGGCACGGGAGCCTCGAGCGTCAAACGAGCGGGGCTCGAGTGAAGTTAGAATTTGGAAAATGACTGAAGCTTGCTGCTTCTGTCATAACCGCATCTGCGGTTCTTGGACCGCAGATGTGGTCAATAGTTTGCAGAGCGGAGAAGGGGCAGGCCAGGGGAAACCGCAAAAGCGGCCCAGGGACCGCAGAAGCGATTCCGCCTATGCGGCCCCCAGACCACAGAAGCGGTCGAGCCCCAAATCCCAAAAGCCGCAGAAGCGGCCAAATTCCGCAGAAGCGGAAATACTTCCGCAGATGCGAAAATAACTGGGGTCAGAAGGGTTCATTAATACGAACCCAAACTCATTTCTTCCACATTACTCTCAACACTTAGGCGATTTTGGTGATTCCAAAGAGGAGGTTTCAACATAACATTGCAAGGTAAGTAATCCCCACTCATTTTTAGTTCAAATACATAAACATTAGGTAGATTTAACACTAAAAATTAGGTAAAATCAAGGGATTTGAGCTAGACCTAGGGTTTAATGAAAACTAAGTTTTTATCACATAATTTGCCATGTACTGAACTAGAAATCATATATTTGTGATCCTTAGGTGATAGAGAACAACTTTCTTCGAAAAATCTCGGAGTCCGGGCACGTGGGCCCGGGGTCGGAATTTAGGAAACTTGTGTAAATGGTTAGGAAATTGCTTAAATAGCTAGAATTCAACCTTGTAAGCCTTTATTTACTAGTTCTTACTTCGTTTGATTAGTTTGGGATTGTCCGGCTTCGAATTAAGGACTTGGGCTCGTTCTTGGACATTGGAAGTGCACTTTGGAGCGAGGTGAGTCTCCTTTCTAACCTCGTAAGAGGGAATTGTCCCCATAGGATTATCAATGAGTAATTGTTGTTAAATGCGGGGGCTACGTACGTACTAGGTGACGAGAGTCCGTGCGTAGCTACTATATTGATAATTGTTCGGGTAGTTTAGGACCCACGTCATGTCTAATTGGGAAATATCTCTTATTTTAAATTGCCATTGATCATTTTGATTTGCTAAAAACTTGAGGAAATGAGAGGTGGACGTATGAGTTTGTTGAGCCTTGGTAGGAATTCCCTTGTATGTAATTGAGCCTTATGTGTTTTTCTTGATATTTTCTTGATGATTATGGATCGGGCCGATCGCCTCGGTGATAATAGATGTATCTATGGTTCGTGCCGCTCGACCCTCGGCAGTGCACAATTTATTTTTCTGTCGGAGCGGACCGTCGACCTCGGCATGATTGTGCATGATTTATATGCTTACAGTTAGATATGACGTGATTGCTTGTTTAATATGAAAAAGGGAAAACCGGTAGTTTAATTATGTCAAGAACGTGAATAAGACTCTTCTCTTAAACTTGTGTTATTGGAAATTCTTCATGCTGTATATCTCACTTTATTATTATATTATCTTGACCTTAGTAAGTATCAAGTCGACCTCTCGTCTCTACTTCTTCGAGATTAGACGGGATACTTACTGAGTACATGTGGTTTATGTACTCATACTACGTTTCTGTACTTAAATGTACAGGATTTGAGGCAGCTGGATCTGGACATCATCCTGGTGCGCATCAGTGAGCACGCTTGGGGACTTCTACGGTGAGCTGCTTCTCTTTCATGCCGATCCGCAGCCGAAGAAGTCCTTTCTAGTACTTTTTGTTTCTGTCTATTCTGATTCAGACAGTAGGATAGTGTATTATTCTTTTGTGTATATTCTACTAGTCGCCCGTAGCTTGTGACACCAGGTTCTGGCACACACAGTAGTAGACATTTATTTTGGGGTTGTATCGCTATTTTAGCACTTTATGATCTTTACTGGTCTTATCTTTAAATTCGAAAATCTAGTATAACTGTCTTTGGCTAAAGTAAAATGAGAACTTAATCACATTCCGCATCGGCTGGCCTGTCAACGGTGTTAGGCGCCATCATGACCTATTATGAAAAATGGGTCGTGACTACATGGTATCAGAGCACTAGGTTTACGTAGGTCTCACAAGTTATGGGCAAACCTAATAGAGTCTTGTAGATCGGACGGAGACGTCTGTATTCATCTTCGAGAGGCTATAGGGTGTTAGGAAAGACTACTCTTTATTCATTTTCCATCGTGCAGTGGTCAGTGTACTAAATTTCCTCTTCTATTCTCTCACAGATGGTGAGGACTCGTACCGCCAACGTTCCGGACCCGGGAGGAGCTGCTTCCCCAGTTGCTAGAGGCCGAGGTAGAGGCCGGGGGAGGGCACCGGCCCGTGGTAGGGGATGAAGGCGTCCCAGAGCTATTCCAGTTGCACCACCAGCAGACCCTGCGAGGGATCCCATTATTGAGTAGCAGGGCAAGGCGCCCGCAGCTGTGGCGACTCCGGTGGATTTCATGACTGCGCCGCGATTTCAGGAGGTCATGGGCCGTATGCTTCGGTTCATGGACACTATGACTCAGGCTGGTTTATTTCCAGCAG